AGTCATAATTATGAGATAGCTAAATCATAATAATGAGATAGTTAAGTCATAATAATGAGATAGCTAAATCATAATAATGAGATAGTTAAGTCATAATAATGAGATAGCTAAATCATAATAATGAGATAGCTAAGTCATAATAATGAGATAGTTAAGTCATAATAATGAGATAGTTAAGTCATAATAATGAGATAGTTAAGTCATAATGAGATAGTTAAGTCATAATTATGAGGTAGCTAAGTCATAATTATGAGGTAGCTAAGTCATAATTATGAGATAGTTAAGTCATAATAATGAGATAGTTAAGTCATAATTATGAGGTAGCTAAGTCATAATTATGAGGTAGCTAAGTCATAATTATGAGATAGTTAAGTCATAATAATGAGATAGTTAAGTCATAATTATGAGGTAGCTAAGTCATAATAATGAGGTAGCTAAGTCATAATAATGAGATAGCTAAGTCATAATAATGAGATAGCTAAGTCATAATTATGAGATAGCTAAGTCATAATTATGAGATACAAGTTTTATTTTTTTATCAGGGTGGCAGAAATGGGCTTCCATACATAATAATGCACAAACTCAAACTGATTTTATATAATCAACTTAAAAAGGTTTTGACAAAAAAAATGGCGCCTATATTTGGCCTTATGAGGTGACTGCACCCGATTGAGCCACTCCTCCTGATCAAACTGCTCCTGTCTCAGGTTTTAAAGGCTCTTTGTTCAACAGGATTTAGTTCATGGCTCATGTGGTCTTTTGGAAACATTCCAGTGTTTGGTTCTGTTACAGTCTTGGATGTTTTCAGTATGTTTTGGGTCATTACCCTGTACAAAGATCTATAATCTGAGAACAAACTTTCTGACTCTCAACAGTGTTTGACTCCAGAAGGCCTTGATAGTCTTGAGATTTCATTGAAGCCTGCCCAGACTGAACACATCCTGTCAGGCCCCGTCTGCGATTAACCCTTCTCTGTGGAGGGATTATTGATGAGAACCTTTGAGATGTGTCAAATGCAACAAAAAGATGTCTAATAAATGACCAAGCAGGCGACTGAAATAGTTATTTACAGTATTTCTTACAGAATGTGCTTAATAGGCTATTTCATTTACAACCCAAAATCAGACAGGCTACGGTTGGAACGTTGTGCAAAATGTAAATAAAAGCAGAGAACAAAGGTTTGCAAATGTCTTGAATTCAAATTTTATTCACAGTGGAACACAGTATATGTTCAAACTCAGAATTTGTTTTTAATCAGCTCATTTTGATTCCGATCATCTTAAAAGTTGGGACCCGAGCAACAAAAAGACTAAAAAAGAAAAACAGCTTTTGTATTTTACAACCAGTTAGGTTGACAACAAGTCAAGAAGACCAAGAGGACCTTTTATAAAATAAAAAAAAGAAACATAAAAAGAATAAACACTGTAGGAGCTACATCTTTTGGATTAATTATATCCTGCTATATGCTATTTTTATTTGTCTTTGCGATTTACAACCATGGGGGGAAAGGCTGCATGTGGCAGTAACTTTGTGTTTGTGTGTTAGATTCAGTAAAATCTTATATGGTGAACAAAACCTTGAATGGTTTGAATGAACATGCATGTTTTTTAAAACAACTATTTTGATCAGATATACAGTTTTAATTGTTTTTTTATGATGTTTTAAAAATTCTGCTACGGATAGTTTATTATCTTCTAATAATTTACTTTCACAAAGCAGAATGTGAATGAAATTGACTCCAAATTCAAAGATCAATAAATATATTTTTAATATTTTTATTTCATTTTAATTTTGACAATTGCAATAAGGTATAAAATATAAACGTATTTAAAGAGATGTTTTATTTTCTACTCAGTGTATAAACCGGAAACTTGAGTTAATCAAATCACATTGAATTGATTTTCAAAATAAAACCGGAATGCAAACGTTGTACAGTGCAGTGAAACAAATAAGATATGAACAACTACACTAAATGGCAGAAAATGTCTGTAATTAAAAAAATAAAAAACGTTAGATTTAAATTAAAATCAGAACCTGTATGGTTTGTGTACCGTATTTTGTATGTCGGTGTTTCTGACTGGTTGTGTGACGAACCGGAAGTGCTTCTTTCCTTCGTGACCTTTCAGTAATGCTGACAGGACTCTGTGAAGCTCAGCGGAGAGGAGAGTAATCTGAAATACTTTTGAAGATATATATTTTTCTCCATCAGAAGAGGACTAAAACGGGACGCTGCCACCATGAGTACCATGTTTGCAGACACCATCCTGATCGTCTTCATCTCTATTTGCACAGCGCTTTTAGCAGAAGGTAGGTGGAAATCCTCAGTGAAACACTAGACGTATATATAAAAAACTACATTCATGTATTAAATAGATTATTATTTTGGCTTATATATCGAGTGGAGATGTTATTAGGATTCGTCGAGTTATCAATTTAAGTGTTTTCTTGATTTTATGCGCGCTAGTTACAAACTAACGTGTTAGCATTAAATGGCTAAACTTTAGCATTTGTTTTCCGGTCACGTTTTCAAAATAAAAGTCTGCAATAACTAGTTGGAGTGGTTTGTTTCAACATCCCAGGCTCAAGTTCTGTCATGAAATACTGTGGACGATATGTTATTTCCTGGGTTTAGTTTTTTTATTTTTATTTTTTTTTTTGCCACTGATTAGTTCAAATATAGATTTAACTTGATTTTATTTGATCTTTAAGTAATTGAAAAAAATTATTTTATAGATTTTATGGACATATTTAATTTTATCCTTTTTYATATTTTTGTCTTGTTGTTTTAAATGTAAATATGGACACAAAGTCTGCTAATAAAGTTTGAATTGAATTTATTCAAATGTTACAAAATCCATGACTTCGCTGCTGTCCTTACAAAGTAGCTTCAGTGTGTTTTTATGTTTCATAACTACCTAAAAGCTTTTACCAGTTCATCTCGAGTTTATGTTGTGGAAAAACTAGACGCTACACTCTCATGACCCGGTGTTGCGTTCAAGGGCTTAAATTTTCTTGTGCTTTTTGCCTTCTGATCTTTCCTTCAGGTATCACCTGGGTTTTAGTATATCGGACTGAAAAGTACAAGAGACTAAAGGCAGAGGTGGAAAAGCAAAGCAAAAAACGTAGGTGAATTAAAAGTACAACCTGGCAGGATGTGTGTTTAGACATGCCAAAGAACGTTTCTGTTGCTTTTCTGTTTTCAGTTGAGAAGAAAAAAGAAACCATAACTGAGTCTGCTGGACGTCAGCAGAAGAAGAAGATCGGTAAGACCCCCAGAGGAAGCTCTGCTCTGCTCATCGCTCATGTTGACAGACGTTTATGATCAGTGATCTTTGTGTTACAGAAAGACAGGAAGAGAAGCTGAAGAACAACAACAGAGACCTGTCTATGGTGAGGGTTTATTGATAGTGAATAGTTTTGCTGCTGATAATAATACACAAGATCACACACAACTTTATGTTTGATGTTTGACCGAAACAGATGAAACTCTGGGCCGTGTGCGTTCCTTTAAGCTTTACATTATTATTTATGTTAAAAAGTTGCTCCTAATTTCAGGGACAACAGATGAAAAATAGCCTTTGGCTAACTCTGGCACAGTTACAGAAATGTCAATTAAAGTGCATTGTCCCTTCTAAATCAATTAAATTAAATCTGGAAGAGTTTGTTGAAGCGTCATTAATAAATGTGTGTGTGCGTAATTGTAGGTGCGAATGAAGTCCATGTTCGCCATCGGCTTCTGCTTCACAGCTCTGATGGGAATGTTCAACTCCATGTAAGTAGCTTTTTTTTGTTAAAATATTTTATTTATTTTTTTATCCAACAGCACAGAACAAAAAGAATTACATGCCTTGAATAAACTTGTTTAGCCCCCCTATCCCCCGCCTAACATTTTTGGGTTTGTTTCTTCGACCTAAGTTGGGAATTTGATCTAAAAGTTTAATTTCCATTCAGTTTTTTAAACTATTTTTTTCTCTAATATTGTGGGTATTATTTTACGTGTCTTCGGACAGTCCCATCAGTCGTGTCAAGCTGTCACTCCTACATGATGAATGAAAGGGTCTCAAACCTGGTGGAATCTGTTTTGGTTTCCTGGGGTCTCATTTATAAAGGATTGCGTGGAAACCATACTAAAAGTGAACGTATGGCCAAAAGGCGAAAATGGCGTACGCCAAAAAAAATTCAGATTTATAAAACCGTGCGTACGCACGTTTCTGCGCATCTTTCCTTTATAAATCACAGCCGCACRTCAGAATTTGCGCACGAGGTCCCGCCTCAGGTTCTACCCTCTACACGCCCACATTTAACCATAAACAGTCAATGCAAAGTACCTCATGAATGTTAAGATGTATTTAAATCAGTCAGCTGATCAATGTCAACAAAAGTGATTGGTTCAGACACGCTCCATCGTGTGCCTGGAGGTTGACAGGTGCTGACTGACAGCTGCTCACGTGAACAGAATGTCTGTAATTGACACAGATTTTCCCGTATTTTGCTTTAGAGTAATCTAACGATTTTTATAAAAAAAATACTCAGCTTCAAATTAATTTTCTCTCAGAGCCTGCAGGACGATAAAAACAATAAAAATAAAATTAAATAAGTCAGATAAAATTAGAAATAAGTCCACCGCTCTTCTCCTCGTCCTGCCTGCTCTCTTATCTGGTAAATTAAATATCTGACAGTGATCATGACACAGTGTGGCTCTAATTCCTCACTTCACCATCTGTGTCGCAGTTTCACGTCTCCAAAATGAGCGTACGCATGGGTCAGAGCTGGCGTGAGGCACCGCACATTTTCACGTCAATTTTGGATTTTATAAATCACAACCTTGGCGTAAAAAGTGGCGTACGCAAGTTTCTGGGCTCAAATTGTGCGTACGCCAGTTTTATAAATCCGACCCCTGGTATTTTTCTATGAAAGGGCTAATTTCTCTTTATGCCGATAAGATGTCTAATTCTATAAATGTTTATTGATTCTTTTTTGTTCTTAGGTTATTTTAATATAAAGCTATTTGCATTTTAAATTTAAAGTCAAACATTAGGTGAGGGTAAGAGAACGTTTCAAATGGAGACCAGTGTTATTGCAGAGGACAGATACTCTGCAGTAAATACACTCAGACTTATTTTCTGTTTACGTCCAGCTTTGACGGACGAGTTGTGGCCAAGCTGCCGTTTGTGCCGCTGTCCTACATCCAGGGCCTGTCGCACCGCAACCTGCTGGGAGAGGACTACACGGACTGCTCCTTCATCTTCCTCTACATCCTCTGCACTATGTCCATCAGACAGGTGACTGAAGCTCTCTTTACACAGCCTGAGCCCGTAGAAGCTGCTTGTATAAGTTAATAAGAAGTGTCTGCTTAGAAGGAAGTCAGGACATGTTGTTATTGTTGCCACATGGCTCTTTGCCAAAAACAGACACTATTTGGAAATCAAGGCAAATTAAAACATCATCTCTGATCCTTTTGAGGTTATAATTTCCATGCCCTCTGCTGCCACCTTAAGTCGTTACCCACCTTGAAATGAATGTCAGTTATTTTACACAATTTCTGACTCAGCATCTCAAAGTTTTGAATGAGTCCAAATAAAGTGATATCACAAATAGCTTGATATATATGCCACAAAATGTTTGTTGTCATCAATGTAGTTGCGTGATCAAAATTACGTCACTCTGTTCTCACAGATTCTCAGAGAAACCATTCTGGGTACAAGTTTCTGACAGAACTTGTGTCTCGAAACGAGTGTACGCCAAGTATTGTGTGACTGGTCAGAACTTCATGGTGCTCTCATTTAGCTTCGACTGGTCTGCTGAGGATCAGCTGGTGGAGGCTGTGAGAGAACACAGCCTTCCGTACAGCTGTTCCAGCAAAACCTATAAATATTTACAAATAAATCTTGGAATTACTTTGGATTCTCATTTGACTTATCGTGATCATGTACAAGTCTTAACCACTAAGTTGAAACAGAAATTATACGTTTATTCACAAATTAGATCCAATCTGACATCTTCTGTTTCAAATATCTATCTTCATGCCATTACACTCTCAACCATGTCGTACTGTTTACCTGTTTGGTCTCTTACAACAAATGAAATCTTAGAACCCATAGTTAGGCTCTACAACAGGGCCTACAAAATTCATAAAAAACGTCCTGGTTGGACTCATCACTGTACAGTTCTTTCATTGTCTGATGCCTTGACTGTTCAGAATTATGTTTTGTATAGTGGCATTAATTTATATTTTCAGATCTTCCAAGGTGCCAATTATGGAACTCTCTGTGCATTGTTGCCCAAATCAAATTCT